AGAAGAAGAAGAAGAAGAAGAAGAAGAAGAAGAAGAAGAAGAAGAAGAAACAAGTAAATAAAAGTAGAAAAACTTTCTTTTCAATGAATAAAAGAAATTAATGAGATTCTTAAAAAATTAAAAATATAAATTCCATTTGATCTATTTCCCTTCTAGCTATCTTCCCCCCAAAATTAAACTCATTATTTTATAGGGATACATACAAACATGTGTTTATAGCAGCATCATTTATAATTTTGAAAACAGTGTATATGTCCATCGACAGATGAATAGATAAAGAAAATGTGGTAAACATTATATTTTATTTGTTCCTCAGCTATCTTCCTCATGAGACTAGCTTAAAATATGTCTCTCTGGCATCCTGTTATCCTTTGATTTTAGCAGAATGAGTAACTATCATCCAGGCATAGTAAGGGAATGAGTGAATTTCATACCCAGTAAGAAGTTATTTATAATGTTAAGGCATAGGCGAGAACATGACTTATTTAGGAAATTGCGTAAAGTCTAGTTATGCAGTGGAGGGGGGGGGCAAGTGCTTACCCTGAAGACTATTTGGAGCCATAACATGTTCTAAGCGTGAGGCTTTCATACACAAGTTTTGTCACAGAGAAAATAAGTAGAATTGACAGGAAGAAAGCAAGATTAAAAGTAAGGAGACAAGTTAGGAGGCTTCTGTGAAAGTCCAGATTGGAAATGATATTGAATGTTATTGGAGGCTGGACATATAGAAATAAAGAGATGGAGACAGCTTGGAGAGATATTTAGGAAGTACAACGGGTTACACAAGATTATTTATTGGATAGGGTGGCTAGAGAGAAGGCAAACTCACACAATGCCTCAGTTACTGGTCGGGTTAACTTAGTTTATGGCAATGCCATCATCAATATTGGGACAAGTATAGAAGAGGGAAGGTAAAAGGAGCCAATTGTGGTTTGTCACTATGCTACTGTCATTATAAAGATCTCATTCTTTAATCTTCACAACAGCCCTACTAGGAAATAAGGTCAAGGCTATGTGATTATGTAGTGGGAAGAACCACTTCGGCAGGGAGAGAGCATGTGAGATGTTGGTGCTCATGAACACTGGGGTAGAGATGTTTAGTGAACGGTTGGTATCACAGAGTTCAGAAGAGATTTCTAGACTGCAGATTAGGATAAGAGTGAAATCCAAAGACAGTGGCTGAAACTCTGGGAAGGAGTAATATTATGCTGCAAAATATGATTTATGTTTTCTTTGTTTAGTAGTTTGGTCTGGATTTTCTTCCTTATTTCCTCCGTTTGCCAAAATCGTCTCCTGTCTTTGATGCACAACCCTCACATAGTTCTCTTGACAAAATCTGATGTATTTTCATCTCAGTATTTCTGTCTACTCATTTTTTTCTACCCAATGTACTTTCAGAGCCTTAAAAAATACCTTTCCTAAACCCTTTAGTCTGTTTTAAATTTAAAATTTTATATATTTATTTATATAGTAAGTTTCATAAATGGAAATGCCTAGTTTGTACTCATGTTTACTATACAATGTCTGACATCAAGTTCTTCTCATTGGAAAAAAAACAGTACATTGTCCATTAAGTTGAATAGCCTAAGAATGTGATAGAGAAAACCTTAGTTATTTCTACTTTTATGTAGCACTAGTAATGTTTTATTTACACTTTCCTCATGCCACATATAGAACTTGAAGGCCAATGAATGAAATAAATAAATTGTTAAAAAATAGCACAGTCATGTGCAATTTGGTTGCTAAGTCACAGGCAACTTTGGGACATACTGGGCAAGCAAGTACCATTACCTTCATAGCTCTCCGACTTCTTGTTAGTGGTGCAACGCTCTTCCACTTTGGTTTTCTTAAAAAATAAATAGCGTTTCCGTGTTTCAATACGGATGCAGTTTTGGGTTTCTTCCTCCGATAAACCTAAGGAATATAATACAAAGAGAACCCACTGAAAGCTCAGTGAACAACAGAGAACCTCTTTGTGCTTCCTTTCCAGGACTTGGCTGGTCCCTCTGCCCCTAACTCCAAACTGTTTTTATTTTAATCTCTGAAATTCTGAGATAAAGAATATGTTACCATGCCATGTGTAATTTCTACAGAACTCATAAATACTCGTTGCTAACTTTACAATAAAAAACTTCTTACTTTATGACTTGCCAATGTTTCAACCTGTTTGCTGTTCTTTCTCCTTATATGAATTCAAACCTATGTTGACTCTGATTCTCTGATGTGTCAGGGAGGTTGATATTGCCTCATTCCCATCCCTTTAGCTGGGGAAGCTGGGACTGACATCGTTTCGGATGCTCATTGCCAACTTCTGCTGGATGACTCTTGTTTTGTCAAAACCCAGAAGCTCTGAGGCTCGGGCCATGCCGTTATGATACTTTTACTTCTCATTGTTCTTGTCCTTTTCTAAATTTTCACTCATCATTGGGTGAAGATTTTGACATCTGAGTCATTCCAGGCACAACGCCTATAGTCATTCTCAGTGACCTCAAATTCTCTGAGTGGAATGCAGTGCAGGGAGACAGATCCAACACTATCCACACTGCCTATCTGGGGCAGTTTGACAGGAATACATGTGCGCTTGTTATGAATAGTTCTCCAAGCCACCTGCATCACTGCCAGAACTTTAAAATTAAAATCCAAGTCTTGTGATATTTAATGGAAAGTTTCCTTGAATTCTAAAAGCAAATGATATAGTTGTTTGTATCAGTATTTATGTACCTTAAAGCAACCTACCTTATTACATGCTGATATTTAAGTTGAGGTTACAATAGGCAGGGCAGAGTACTCTCAGAGCTGGAGGCCTTAATCAGGTGTGAGGCTGAAGTGGAGACCAGAGCACTGAGAGATAAGGTCAGTAGACATGAACTGGATGTGTTTTCTTTACTTTTAAAAGGTATTGACACATTTTAAGAGATGTATTATTAGTTGAGAATAAAAATATAATTGGTTCAAAGCCCTCATGTTTACCTTGTGGCTTCTATTCTAACAAAAGGATGGCTGTTTTAGTCTGGCTGGCTAAATATGCTAATTTTCTTGTGACAGCATTGTTTTCATAAGTGGGTCTGTAAAAATTTCAGGCCATGTTACAAATTTAATGCATTTACAGTGCATGACTGCTTTTCTGATTCTTTCATTAGGTTCATTAGGTTTTATTAATTATAAGTGAAAATTAAATTTTATGTGACCAATTAGCTATAACAAAGTGAGCTGTATATAAATGTAATTTCATTTTTTGAGGCCATGTGTGAATCCTTAAAGAAATCCCTCTTGTGGTGTTGGCCATCCAGTGATTAAAATATCATAGTTTCATTTGCGAATTTTGAAAAAAAGCCTTTCCTTTCCTGGATACATCCTGTCACTTGCTGCCTGGCCTTATAGTAACTGAGGAGCTTCTTACAGCTGTGGCACCTGATCACTTAAACTTGAGCATCCCTGTGTTGTAGGATAAGCATTTCAGTAACATCCTCTGCTTCTCTGCCTGAGCAAGTCAGTAGTGCCAGCCACGACATCATATCAATAAATAAAGCAGTGGGTAATTTTTCACCCCATATTCAGAGCAGAAGATAACTTCTCAACAAAGGAAGTTTAAAATTACTGCCATGCATAATGTTTTGTTTAATGATTTCACTGTATTTTGGACGTTCTTTTTTACTTTGCACAGTGAAGTAATGGCAACTTTAATGCAAGTTTTGAAGTTTACTGTGGGACACTGAACAGTAGAGGAATAAATCAAGGTATGCAACCAAAAAGCAATTTAAATTTTGTTTTGTTCTTCTCACTCTTTCCCTGTTGTTTTTTTTTTTTTGTGATACTGGGGATTAAACTCTGGACACTGCCCTTGTGAGGTAGACATGGTACCACTGAGCTAAATTCCCGGCCCTGTTTTGTTCTTCTTGAAGAAAGGTGCTATGAAATATTCAAATTATTTTTTTAATGTAATGACAAGATACGTAATTCATTGCACAAAGCATAACAAAAATGAAAATATGTATCCCAGTTTTATTTTATGACTAAATAAAGAGAGAAGAAATAGAAAGAAAAAAGAAGAGGTCAGAATATATAGAAATGAAACAAAAAGGCAAGGTCACTCATTGGAGAATTCCATTCCATTGTGATTTGTTTCTGTCTGAATAGGCTTCATTTTAATGATCAAAATGGAATATTTTAATAACCATTGTATATTAATATTATTATTGTGACAGAGAATATATATTCTTACTAAACTTATATTCTTATAAATATAAGAATATTATAAGAATAAGAATATAATATTCTTATGAATATAAGAGCATTCCTAATATAGGAATATTGAATATATCATAAAATAGGGTGAATACCATCCATACACATATAAATTGTACATATATACATTTTAAATACTATATATGGTGTGCATATATAGTGTGTATGTCTAATGTATTTGTATATGGATATGTATGTTTCTGGTTTTCTAGCATATCTCATATTCCCTTTCATCTATCTGTTTTTTTTTTTTTTTTTGGTGCTGGGGATCGAACTCAGGTCCTTGTGCTTGAGAGGCAAGCTGCAGAACCACTGAGCTAAATTCCCGGCCCTCATCTATCTGTCTATCTGTCTGTCTATCTATCTATCTATCTATCTATCTATCTATCTATCT